ATTAATCAGAATAGAGTGGGTAGTAGACTTGAGGTTATTAAGGGTTAGGTTGATGAACCTTTCTGAGAAGCCAAATTTCCTCAAAATCTGCTCTAAGAAGTCCCAAGAAACTCTGTCAAAGGCCTTAGACATGTCAAGTTTGATAGCTAGGTTTCCCCCTCTTGTGTTGTAGTTGATGCCATGGATTAGCTCTTGGGCTATTAGGGTTTGATCATGAATTTGTCTTCCATTGATGAATCCTCCTTGCTCTGGGGAGATTAAATCAGGCAGTAGCTTACCTAGCCTCATTGCTATAATTTTTGTGTTAATTTTAGCAATGAAATTGGATAAGCAGATGGGCCTGAAGTCCTCAAAAGTGGTAGGATTATCTTTTTTGGGGATCAAGATGATGGTAGATTTGGCTAGATTTTTAGGAATGGGGATTCCTAAAAAGAATTCCTGGACAGCTCTTGTTACATCAACTTTGATAATATCCCAACATTGTCTATAGAAATCTCCTGTAAAACCATCAGGTCCTGCTGCACTTTCTGGATCTAAGTTCCAAATGGCTTCCTTGACTTCTTTCTCGGAGGGTAGATTTATGAGGGTTTGGTTGTCATCTGCAGTGACCATTGTTGGGATATTTGATAGGAATTGGTCATATCCTTCACTCTTTTCCCAGGAGAAGAGTTGACTGAAGAAGTTAACAGCTTCCTGTTGAATGTCTTTATTATCACCAATCCATTTGCCCTCTTTGTTTTTTATTCTTTGGACTGTCTGGAAATGCCTTTTTTCTTTCAAGATTGCATGGAAGTAAGATGAGTTGCAGTCTCCCTCTTTGAGCCATTTGATTCCAGCTTTTTGTTTCCAGTAATGGAATTCATTTTTAGTGGCTTGTATCAGATGAGCTCTAGTTTCATGTAAGAGAGTTCTGTTTTCCATGCTGGGATTTTCATCAAAGTTGCTTTCTGCTTCTTGGAGTTGTATCTCTAGATCTTCCACTTTGGATGTAATATTACCAAAGGTGTTCTTGTTCCAAGATTGTAGGATTGGTGTGAGCTTGTATAGTTTGTCCATAAGTCCTTTCATGCCACCTCCCTTGTAGTTTCCCCAGTTATCTTCAACAATATTCCTGAATGAATGGTGGTTGGCCCAACAGTTAAGATACCTGAAAGGTTTAGGGCCATTGAAGGTGGGGTTGTGCATTTTAATTAGGATAGGGCAGTGATCTGAGTTTCCTCTTGAGAGGTGTTGACTTGATATGCTATCATAATGCCTTTGGCAGATAGAGTTAGTGAAAACTCTATCCAACCTTTTCAAAATTCTCCCCAGGGATCTTGTGCCAGTCCAAGTATAAAGGTTTCCAGTAAAGGGGGGGGGGGGAATAAAGCCCATTGTCCATGATACAGTTATCAAAGTCCTGGATACTGTTGAGGCAAGGGGTGCTCCTACCTTTATGATGTTCTATGGAGGATATGGCATTAAAGTCTCCCCCAATTATCCAGATAGCATGGTTGTTTTTATTGCAGTTGGTGATTGCTTCCCAGAGATCTTTTCTTTCCTCTCTGGTGTGCTTACCATAGACTCCTGAGAAAAGAAGATCTTTGTTTGTTTGTTGGCAGTGGAAGAGGACATTGAGAATTTGGCCCTGATCTGTGTGATTGATGTAGGTCAGGTGTTCTTCCTTCCACATGATCCAAATTCTGTTGCTGGAGCTGTGGATGGATTTGGAGAAACCCAGATCAAAAAGAAGTTTAGAGAGGTTGTTAGGATGGGATTTGGGTTCAATGATGGTGAGGATGGAAATTTTGTGTTTTGAAACTAATATGGATAACCTCTCCTTTTTAGAAGTTATCCCACAGGTATTCCAAAAGAGGCAATTCATTAATGACTGTTTTGTGAGGAACTGTTTGATTTGGATTTTTCAAGGAGTCTTTTGGATTTCCTTGTGTTGAAAATTGTGAATCCTTCATTTTCAGGGGCATTTTGTTCCTGGTTTATGGTTGGAGAAGAGGGACTTTCTGGACCTTCAGGTATATGTGTTTCAGAATCACTTATATAATTCACATTGAATTTTAAAGTTGAGTTCTGAATGTATGAGTCATCTTTTGAGGGCATGATTTCTGATGATGTTTTGCAGATGTTTGAGATATCCAGCATGATTGCTTGTAAGAGTTCACTTTCTGAAGGTGAGGTTGTGAGGGATCTGGTATGGTTGGTTTCTGTTGGGGTTGGTTCAGCTGTGGTGTTAGTTGGGGTGTGGAATTCAGGTATTTTGGGGTTGGGGTGGATTTCTGTTTGGATTTGGGGGTTTTCTGTTGAAGTGGTGTTAGGGGTTGTGTAATGAGATGGGCTTGTGGCTATTGGTTGGTTACTGGATGTGGGCTGAGTGGGTTTTGGGTTAGGGGTTTTCTGGTTGTGTGTGGGTTCTGGGTTAGGGGTTTCCTGGTTGTGTGTGGGGGTGGCATTTTGTGTGGGCATAAAGGTTGTGTTGACAGGTGTGTGTTTTGGCCCTTCTTGTATGGGTTTTTCATTCTGTTTGGGTGTGGGATTACTGTATGAGGATGATTGATTGTTATTATGGGTGTGTGGGGTATGTAGTGTCAGGCTAGATGGTGGGGTTTGGGTTGATGGTAATGTACTTGTTGAAGGTATATCAGAACATGGTGGCTGGCTATTTTTGTCTGTTTTCTTTTGGAAAATGGTGACTGTTTTGGATTTGGGATTTTTGGGAATATTCCGGCCATGGTTAGAATTTTCCTGTGACTGGCTAGGAACTTGGGCTTGCTTGTTTTTCAGAGACTTGCACTCTCCACTGTGTCTAGAGATGCCTTTACATGTATGACAGTATGTAGGAAGCTCTTCATAAATGGCTTCTAGAGACAGTTGTTGTGGCCCATTTTGGATGAAGAATTTAGAAATTTGAGGTTGAGAAATATCAACCTCAACACATATTCTGGCTAGAGAAGGAGTTCTCTGTAGTGGTATCCAGTTTAATAGGCTTGCCAAAGATTTGGCCAATTCTTAGCAGAGAGTCTATTGAGTGTAGGTGAATAGGAAGGTCCTTGATACCAATCCAAACAGGCATAATAGGTGATTCGAATTTGGGGTCAAAGGATGGTGTCCATTTAGAAATAAACATTTTGAATGAACCTAGAGTCCATTCCCTTCTCTTGAAACATCTGTGGTATTCTTCTTGGGAGGAGAAGTTAAGGAGAATATGTGTGGAATCAATGAGGGTCACAGAAAAAGCTGAGAAGCCTATTCTTTCTAGATTGTGTCTCACAAAATCAAGGCTTGGTCTTCCAAAGAAGAAGGATCCCACTAAAGCCTTAGAAAATCTGGAGGCCAGTAGTTTTACTTCTTCTTCAGAGAAGGAAACACATGGTAAACCTTTGAGTTTTTCAACAGGTTTGAGAGGGAGGGTGGGGATAGGTACCTCATGTGTAGAAGCTATGATGGCAGCAGCG